CTCTTGTTCTGCTTAAAACCCTCCTCTCTGGTACTCACCCCTGCAAACTCCAGCCATCTCACCATTACCACTCCTACTCCCTGCCTCCAGTATTGTTGTTTTTTTAAAACATTGATTTCAGAGAGGAAGGGAGAAAAAGAAAGAAACATCATTGATGAGAGAGAATCGTCGATTGGCTGCCTCCTGCATGCCCCACACTGGGGACTAAGCCTGCAAGAGAATTACCTTTTTAAATAGTTCATACCTTGGTTTGTCAGTGTAGGGATGATTAAACTGTAACCATTCATTTTTACTGATACAGTAAGTCCAGGCATCACCTGATTGAAACAAAAAAACAACAACTATGAAGTATGTTATTCTACCAATGTGATATTGATATTTAAAGGACACAGCTTTAGCAAGAAAGATTATCAATCAGATTGTGATAGATAAGAGAAAGTATATTTCCTTTTATCCTCTGCAATAAACCAAGTAAGCCCTTGCATATTAGAGTCCTTCAGCAGGGCCTTTAAGTATTCCAGGGCATTTCTTTACAGAAAACAATTAACAGGGTTATATTATAGGGTCAAAATTAATAGTAAACCTTCCAACTGACCCTGTAACCCTAATACATCCAAATAGACTAGTTTTTTCCAACTAAGTATATATGATGAATGATAATTTATCACTTTTTTTAAAAAGAAAAGTTGAGAGAGGTGGTTTTAAATTGATTTCAGAGAGAGGAAGGGAGAGGGAGAGAGAGAGAGAAACATCAATTTCTCCTGCATGCCCTCTACTGGGGATTGAGCCCACAACCCGGGCATGTGACCTGACTGGGAATCGAACCATGACCTGATTTCATGGGTTGACACTCAACCACTGAGACACACCAGCTGGGCTCTTTTTTTTTTTTAATATATTTTTATTGATTTCAGAGAGGAAGGGAGAGGGAGAGACAGAGAGAAACATCAATAATGAGAATCATTGATTGGCTGCCTCCTGCATGCCCCCTACTGGGCCTCAAGCAACCCGGGCATGTGCCCTTGATCAGAATCGAACCTGGGACCCTTCAGTCCATAGGCTCTGTCCACTGAGCCAAACTGGCTAGGGCAGGGCTCATATTTTTAAAGACTTACTTAGTGGCTGTTTATCAGTAGTAAATCCTCCAAAGAGAAAGAGATGATCTGAAGAAACTGGTGTCAGTGAGTGCCAAGATCGGCCAACTGGGCACATGCCTTGTGGAATTCTGAAAATAATAGCTAAGTTTTAATACTGACTTCTAAAAGTAAAGAAATATTGAAGTTTTCTTTTAAAATTTATATGGAATTAAAGAAAAAAGAGACTTTAAATTTAAAAACGCTTTTTGGTATTAACTACATACTTTATTTAGAATGAACTGTTTTCTTTGACAGTCAACTTTAGACCTTTTCAACAAACATTGAGCACATACTATATGCCAGGCACATAGTTAATGGGAACTAGAAATACAGGAAATTTAAGCAAGTACATTTTATACTAATAGAGAAAAGGGAAAGAAGCCATTGAAATTTTTTGTAAAACTTTTCTAAATAATTATCTAACGTAATACCTACAATTCATTCCACTCCCATGTATCCAGATTAAGATAGTGAAGATCATTCATTCTAGCATCCTAAAAAAGGATAATTAAATAGTTACCATTTTGAATAATTCAAAGCAAGTCATTGAAACTGTTTATATACTCACCCGATATCTGCCTCCAAACACAAAGCCCTTGTTTCCAACTGTTGCACAGGCATGGGCAGCACGAGGTGAAGGTGCTTTACCCTATTAAAGTTAATAAGCAATTTTTTAAGGGAATGTTTTATAAATACCAGAGTCTCAGTATTTGAAGATACTCATATGATAATGGTGCTATGTTAAGTGCTTTGATATATTAATTCATTTAATCATATGTTCTACGGTTACAACGGTTTGGGCTGAGGATACTTGAATGACAAACCACTTTCCACATAAGAATATGCAGACACTTGAGCTTTCAAGCTGAAGTGTAGACTTCTAGTCAGTAGCAGTACTAAAGCACACTAGTAAAACTGGGACTTTTAATTTTACATTTTTGAGGTGTATTACTAAATAAACAGAATGCTTGTTTTATTTTGATCTGAAAGCTAGCACATTATATAACATCTGTAATCAGAAGAGAAAGAAACTGATATTTGAGTAACTTAAGTTCCAATATAGTGCTAGTCATTTATTTAATTACAAACAGTAGCACTCAATATCTACTAGATAATAGATGCTGGGCGGGTCTACACATTCATTAAACTTTTCTGAGTTCTAGAGTGTTTGGAGAATTATGAAAGCTATGGCCCTTCTCCAGAAAACAAGAAGAATGAACTATCAATCTTGACACCACCTCCCAACTTCCTTTCTCTAATAGTCATGCTTTAATAATCCATTAGTCTTTAGTAACTCACAGTAGTTATAGGCTGACTCCAGATAAATGTTTCAGTGTCTAAAATATGTACATGATCATTCCATCCTCTTGGGTGACTTGAATTCTACAGAAAATAGTAAGAATCTGAGTTATTTTACAATTATTTTACAAAGAGTGTTTTCAAAATTATATAGCCTTGATCTGATTTATTAATTATTAACAAAATGAACAAAACTACTACCAAACAAAATGTATTATTTCAACATACTAAGCAGGCCATATTCAAATATGAAACTTCACTTACCCAAAAAGATGTTTCATCAAATTCAAAAGTTCCCAATACTTTATCTTCAGGTAAATATCCATACCCTCCAAAAAATATTAACCTATTATATTAAAACAAAAATATAAGACACTAAAAATTCAGATACACAAGTTAGTATATAAGAGATTTTTCTTCTTTGTTACATGAGTTGCAAAAGCACAGTTGAGTATATGAAAAATACTCATAATAATGGCTATATGTCTCAGTGCTATGTTAAGTGCTTTGATGTATTAATTCACTTAATCCTCATACATTCTATAATTTCAAAGTTTATTGGAACAATACTTGAAGGCAAACCACTTTCCACATAAAACCCCAAACCTTAGTGCTGCTGCTAACTCACCTGTTTTTATATACCCAGACACCAAGTTTATCCTTTGATGATGGAGGAATTCCTTGGCAATCAATTCTTTCCCAATGTAATACTCTGTCTGTAGACCTTAAATCCAGCATGTAGAACTGTCAAAAACAATGGTTTCAGATCTGGTTTTGTGCAAGAAATTCAACCTTGGTATTTAACTTTGCTGTGATTTATAATAATAAGAATATCATCTAATTCAATACTACCTATGTGTCTACAAACTGTTCTTGAGTCTAGATAAGGAACTTGTGCCAGAATATAAGTTACCTAAGTCACTAAGCATCCTGTTTAGTTCAGCTAATTTTTTTTTTCCACAGCCACACTTTTTTGGTGAGGGAATAGAAGTATATTGGTTTACATTCTGTGCTTAGATAGGCACTTAGAGTTTACTGATCTAATTTATGGGTATCAGGATGGTATAACCAAAAAAAAAAAAAAAAAATA